AAAATGGGCAAAATCGATTCACACCGGGAAAAGTTATGAATCAAAATTTAAAACAACCTCGAAAAAAATAACCATTTTTTACACATTCTGATGTAATTCGTTTCTATATAAGAGCTTGATCCCTGCTGAAAATTGACAGAATCGGTCAACAATTTCACATACCTCCCCCAAAAGTACATATTCCCGGAAAAAGGGTTTTTTGTTAATAACTTCCGTCACAATGTCGATATCTTCATAAAATTTTACAAATTAAAATGTTATATCAATAGAATTTATAAAGAGAAAACATTTTCTGGATCGGTCCATAACTGGTCATAGCTCCCATACAGGTCCCTTTTAGAAAAACACTTAAAGGCACATAACTCATTATCAAATACTAAAAATAAATACTATTTTTGTACACATAAATGTTATTTCAAAATTTTTTCACGATCGGTCCATCCTTGGTCATAGCTCCCATACAAGGTTCCCTCCCGAAAATCACTTAAGCGCACATAACTCATTACCAAATCTGGATATCCATACATTTAGCAAAAATAATGCTCTTATATACATAAATTACACTATAAAATTGTTTTACGATCGGTCCATATTTGGTCATACTAATATTCATTACCAAATAATGATATAGATACAGAATTTTGAAATTTTGTTTTTATATACATAATTGGTCATAGCTCCCATACAAGGTCCTTTTACGAAAATCTCTTAAACGCACATTACTCATTACCAAATAAAGCTATTGATACAAAATTTGGCACAAATATTAGTTTTGTATCCAAAAATTCTATTTCAAAATTTTTTCACGATCGGTTCATAACATGGGTGCGGTCGGTCCCATACAAGGTTCCCTTCAGAAAATCACTTAAACACACATTACTGATTACTAAATTACGATATAGATACAAAATTTGACTGAAATATAGCTTTTATGTACAGAAATTTAGCTTAAAGAATTTTTTACGATCGGTCTATATTTGGTCATATCTCCCATACTAGGCGCTTTCACCGTATTTAACTAGTTGCATTATCAGTTTGTGTAGAACAAAATTATATATATGTATTTTGAAAATCCTTAAATCTTTCACTCACATGCATACATGCAAATTACAAAATAATACTAAGCGCTATAAAAAAATAAAAGAAAATGGCGCTTGTAATGTTCAATAAATCTTGGAATTCTAATAGATTTAAGCTGTTTAAATCTTGTAATTTTTCTATTTAAGACATGAGAAAACTTATTTCTACAAATATTTGATCAATTAGAAAAGTATTAATATAAAATTAGCTGGTAGAGGGTATTCAAGATTCGGCTCAGCCGAATATAGCACTCGAACTGGTTAATACTTAACAAATTTCATTGACAGAATCTTTCGAGATTCTCTAATTATGTTTTGACAAAATCAATATAACCACATCTTAGTTAATGCAGGGTTTAAAAAATATCCATTGTGTTTCTATTTTTCTTCACACTACTGTCCAATATGCAATGACTGCTAAATGATACCTATACACATGTTATTAATGGTACATTACTACATGTAGACAGACATTCATATAACGTCATTTAAATCATTTTAATATGAAAATTATTAAAATTTCATATGTATATTAGACTGACTCACCAAAAAATGGTGCTTAAGTTACTCTTCTCAAAATATACCTTGTTATGTCAAATGATGTTTCTCAAATATTTTGGACTTTATGTTCGTTCGTGAGCTAGGACCTTTTCATGTTTACTTTATTCATCTTTAAAAAAATGTTGTTGATGATTTCCAAAATATTTTGAGTCTACTGACGTCTGGACCAAAGCAGGACCGATAATATTGGGAAGGTATTATGCTGATGTTTGTAATATCCAAAAATAATAGTCCTACATATAACCATCTTAAAGTATTCCAATCGGCTCAGCATCACTTTCTGAGTCAATTTAGCTATAAACATATGTTCATCCGTCTGTGTGTCCATTTAAGCCTTATTTTTTTTCCCAAGGACAAAGCCTATTGGAAATTGTTAAAAATTGATCCAATATTTTACCTAGTCCCAATACAACTACACCGTAAACAATAGCATTAGCATTGGTGCCCATAATATTTTTACATATACATATGTATGTACTTCAAAAGGTAAGAGAGAGAGGTAACAAAACACTATTTTGTGTTCCATACAATGTGAGTCGGTCTAATGTACATACAAATAAATTTCTACATACATGTGTACATTTAGTCTTATTATATGTCCGTATGTTATTAAAGAAAATTAATAACTTCCATAGATGCTGTCTGTATGTGTTACTTGAGCTTCTTCTACTGTTATTGCTACTACTATGTCTACCGGTCTTGCTGCGATATCTGACAGACATTGTTGTTTTTAGTTTACCACACTTCAGAGCTGAGCAGAAATTTGGAACTACATACTTCTTTATGTTGTTTTTATTTTGGTAGTATAATCATGTTTAAGTACTTTAAGAAAACGTTTAAACATTTACGTTATTTTGACTGCGTCTTAAACAGAAAACGAAACTGGGTCAGAGAATTTTGTGAGTAAATCAAACTCACACTTTAACAGACATAAAAAAAATACGGCACACAACATGTCGTTTTGTATACAAAGTCGTTTGTATAAATTAAATGTCCAAATTTTGTTTAAATATAATGTGCGGGCAACAATTTAAAGAAACGTAAAAGCTTTTATTTGTAAATGACAATCTTTTAATTGTTTGAGTACAGAAGCGTGGCTTTTCGAAAAGAAGTAGTGGGGGGAAAAGTTTAGTTAAGCCAGAAATTTTGACTGGTGAAAACCACTTATCACTTCATAGATTACAAAGAGTTAGTCAGAAAGCTTGTCCAAAGTAGTCAATACATGACAATGAAAATTTTTGCTTAAGTTGGTTTTTTAAGTATCCTCTCTCTCTCTTGAAATTTTGGGGAGAGTTCATTCGTAACGTAAAACGAATTAGAGCCAATTAAGTGGCTAGAAATTAGTAAAAGATTACTGTCTTTGTCGGACGAATTGTCTCTTTGTCGAACTGCTGGTTTAGTATAGTTCACCAGCTCAGTGACTTCTTCCCTCATTTTGGTTACCAATCTCCAATATTTTTGCAACTTCAACTGACATTTCCACCATTTATTGTATTCATTGCAATTAAATTTTTTCCAACCTCTAAAAAAACATTAACTCCTGTTCTATAAACGTTGAAAATTTTTATTGGCCCCATTGCGGAAGGTTTTTTTTTTTTTTTTGTTTTACAAAATATTTATGTGCGTAATTTCAATGTGGATGACTGTCATTTTTAAAATCACGTACTACGAAAAATTTTTGCTATCCATGTAAATATAAGTATTATGAATCAGTTTGTTTATTCGTGAATTCCTTCTTAACAGTTTAAAATCCTTAATAGAAAGTAGTGTGTCTCTATTAGTGTTCTGGTATATCAGACCGGAGGTCGTGGGTTCGATTTCCAACAGAGACCTAATACGTCCTCATTTTAAACTAATAAGTAGGAAGCTTCAATCAGAAACGGTCAAGGAGTACATATTAAAAGTAAAGTTTTTGTTTTTATATACTAGGGTAGAGCTTTCAGTAGTAGTAGTAGCTTTTTTTGAGAAATTTAGGGAATAGGAGAAATCATGGACTTACATATTTCAATACCAAACAAACTGGATATAGGCAAAATTTTAAAAAGATTTAACAGACGAACGGACATGGCTAAATCGTGTTATTGGTTGTAGACTCTACAACCAATATGTCCTGAAGTTTTGAGATTCTATAAAATCACTATCACAAGTGTGTGATACAAAACCCGTACAATATCGGGTACAAAAAGTACATTTAAGATATTTAACAAAACATCCAACAGAGAGTTATTATATCTCCTGGCTACACTACCAGTTAATGATATCGAATTTTTACTGTTTTATGACCATAATTCTTTTTCTTTTATACCCTCTTTTGTTTTAAAAATAAAATAAAAATACAACAAATAATGTAATTAAAATGCAAAGTAATTCGCTTTTTTTATTCGTATTATACACAAAAAAAAAAACAAAAATATGACAAATAGGTTTTCAAGTGTTTTCAAGCTGCAAGTGGTTAAAGGGAAAATATAGATACAGATACTGGCGTCAGAGTTTAAGACATATACCGAAAGAAGAAGTGACAGAAAGAATTTCAAACAATTTTTTTTATGAAAAGAGAAATTAAAATATTGTTTGTAGGAAAATTATGGAATTAATGCAAAAAAATGGTAAAGGAAGAAAAATGAAGAAGTGTAGAGCATGCAAATTAGATAAAAATGAACAAAAGTCATGGAGAGATAAAAATTAGAAGAAGAGTTTCGGTTTTTTTTTTCAAAGTATAAAAAGGTGAAAAAAAAAATATTCTAAAGATATTTTGTTTGAAAATAATGTAGGCTGAAATGAACTTTTAAAGGTGATATAAAAAGTAATGACAGTTTAATGAAAGTAATATGTTGTTATAATGTCAGCAAGAAAGAGGAAATTAAAAGCAGAAAATTAAGAAAAAAATATAAGAATAAAAGAAAATGAAAAAGTTGTAAGTTTGCAAATGAGAAGAAGTTAAAAATTAGCAGAAATTTATAAGGAAAACTAAACAAATAAACCAGCATAAGAAAAGGTTCATTCGAAGGTGTTGATGAAATGTTAGATGCTAATTTAAAATTTCTTTTTATATTTTATAGGTTTTTCTATAGAAAATAATTAGATATTTAAATGACAATTTGTATTTAAGATGATGATGCTTAGGTTTGAAATTTAAAAATGGCATGAAAAGAAAGTTACTGCTGCTGCTGCTGTTGATGAAATGACGAAAAGTGTTAATGAATTTTGTAAAGTTTGAAAAAGTTTTGTTAAATTTCGAAAAGATGAAAAGAAATAAAGAGATTTTGTAGATTTTTTTTTAGAAAAAGTCATGAGTTTGTATTTTTTTCGTTTCTTTTGTAGATGTTTTCAAATGGTTAGAAAAATAGATTTGTTTTTTTCGGTAGAGCAATAGAAATAAAGAGTAAAATTTAAAGAAATGGCAATAGAATAGATAAAGAGTTAAAGTATACAGTATAAAAGATAGACAGATAGATAGAGAAAAAGAAAGATAAATAGATAAAGAGATAGTAAGTTAATTATTGCAAATAGAAAGAAAGAAAGTGATAGTTTAGGATAGAATTAGTGTAGGAGTATGATTTAAGATTTTCAATACACATTATGCTTGACTAGTATTCATGCATTTTGTGAATTAGTTTCTTCAGCTGTAAATTAAAGAAATGATTAATTTTAATAAAAAATTTAAAGATTTTTTAAAGAAAAGTTGTTCCAATTATGTTCAAACTTTTAAGCTTAATCTAACATAATTGTGTTTGAGAATTTCAAATCATTTTGGAAATATGGTTTTGTAAAAGATTTTCAACTTGAAAACCCAACAAAAGATTCATTGTACGTTTCAACAAATTCTCATATTTTGTTTTTAAGGCACTTTTTAAAGTTTTTTTTGTTGTTTTGTTTTCTTGCAATAAATTAAAATAATAATAAATTAAATAAATAAAAATAAATTATAATAATTAAATAAATTATTTCGTTCTGTGTTTTTAAAAATTTTCGTTAAAGTTCCTAGATTTGTTGCTTTTTTTCAATTTGTTCGAAATATAATAATTATTACCCTAAAAGAAACATAAGTTTCTTAAAAAGCTTATCGTCTGGCTTGTTTGTAGCCGGAGTAAGCAATAGTTTGGGCAACGGGAGAGCTGTAGGCACCGTGGGAATCCCAGCCGGAGCTGCTGCCAGAAGACCAACCACCGGTAGGAGCACCACCGCCGGAGGACCAACCACCAGAGCTAGCACCAGCGGTAGCAGCACCAGAGCTCTTGCCACCGAACAAACCACCGAGACCGCCCAAAAGACCACCGGATCCACCACCGATACGGCTCAAACCACTGCTAGCACCGGCAGCCAAGGCCAAGAAGAAGGCAATGACGGAGACAACGAGAGCCTTCTTGGCCAAGAACAACAAACCGAAGATGGCACCAACAGCCAAGACAGCAACCTTAGCACCGACACCCAACAAGATTGGCAAGAATTTCTTGATCAACTTCTTCTTCTTGGTACGGGATTCAACAACCAATTCACGCAAATCAGCCTTGATGTCATCGGGAATGGCACGGGCAACAGAGCGGGCAGCATTGGCAAAGTTGAAGTTCAATGAGCGTTCAGCGAAGAAGTTCTTGGCATTGGTCAACATATAGTTGCCGATTTCAGAGTTGCGGGCCTCAATGCTGGGAGCAGCTTCAACGGCACGAGCGCTTTCATCCAAAGATTTACCTTGACGACCTTCATTAGCCTTGATCAAAGAGACACCACCGAACAATTCAATTTGGGGATTTTCGAAGATGGATTTGGCTTTACGGAAGAGCTGGCGAATGAAAATGTTAAGAAAACAATGGGAAATTAATAAAATTTTAATAATTAGAAAGCTGTCTAAAGAAAAAACAAACATTTACAAGAAAGTTGTGTATTTTAAGAATATCATTTTATAAAATTTGTGAATTTTTAACAAAAACATTTTGCTAAACTTTAGGATTTGGTTGTAGAATATTAACAAGTTAATTTGTTTAAAATTGTGAAAAATAAAAATATTTTAATAAAGAGTATTTTGTAATCAATTTTTAGAGCAGAAAGTAATAAATTGTTAAAAAATGTATTTTAGCCAGGAGAAGTGCATTTCAAAAGGTAGGGAAACAGTGTTAATGTTTAGTATAAAAGTAGGAAATTTTGAAAATTTTTTAAAACTAAAAAATTTAATTAATATTTGAAATGAATTAAGTGAAAATTCCCTATTAAAATACTCTTAAAGGTTTTGGAAAAATATTTAGAAATTAAAAAACTTTTTCACAAAGAAACTTTCACACTTTTTCCAAGGGGAATTTTGAAAACACTTTTTGGATTTATATACTTAAAGTGGGGAAACACTTGTTATGCAATATTATTATTAATTTTAGTGAATAAAGCAAAATAACACACAAATATTTAAAATTCTTTACAAGGTTGTGTTTCAATAAATTTAAAAAATAAGTTTGTATATTCCAATATTTAATACAAATTATTATGAAACATTTTATGTAATATTTTAAAACTTGCTGTTGAGGTATCGTTTTCAATACACTTTTTTTCTTAAATCAATAAAATTATATAATCCACTGAGAAGTTTCACTTTTATTTTAAAGGTTGTTATTTTAAAATTTGTATGTGGGTTTGAGTCAATGGATATGTAATCCTTGTTATATAACTTGGTATTATTTAATAGCACTTGTAATTTATAGTTTTTTATGGTTTGAGTTTTTTTTATTATTTCTTTAACATTTTCAATTTTTCAAGCAAAAGTTTTTTTTTAGTTTTAATTCACTTTAAGTCTTTTTAATTTTTCTCAAGTTTTGTAAAAGTTTTCACTTTCTTGTTTGTTTTCTTTTTAAATTATATAATCCTTTAGGGTTTTTTAGTTGTTGTTGTTGGTATATTAAGTAATCCGTACCGTTAATTGTAAACACGAAATTGAGTCAGATTCCAAGCAGTGGGCAAAGGCACTTGTTTGTTCGCCACTGTTATCCTTAGTGGCAGCGGGATTGGCAAGGATGCCGGAAGCTAATAAAAGCACACAAGTTGTAGCAACAAAGAATTTCATTTTGTATATTTTTGTGTATTTAATTTATTTAATTTTTTTATAAATATTCTTTTTATTTAAAACACCACCGAAATCACTATGTGTTCATTCGAATGGAACAAGCTGAGGTTTGATAATTTTTCGACGATGTCAGGCTGTTTTTAAGCAGTCTCCAACAATCAACAAAAATCATATAATTATGCAAAACCTATAAAAGAAAACCAACAAAATACACAACAACCAATGATAAACCAATTGTTGCTGTTGGTATTGCTGCTGCTGGCATTGCCATTGCTGTTGCCCATGCCCATGATCATCATTAACATCAGCAGCATTCACAGTAGATGTTGCTCTTGATCATGAAGTAAAATGTTTAAAGGTATTGTAATGATACAGAAATCACCAACAACAATAACGGCAAAACTATCTACCTACTACATATGTCATTAGTAGTAAACAACACAAACTCTCTCATATATCTTAGCCCTGTTTACCCCGCACATACGCACTCTCCTATTAACCCGGTGAAATGCTCAACAAAAATCCCAAAAAAAAAGAGTGTCAACAGTGACGCCTATCCCCTCTTCGCAGACATAATCCCCAACATTTTAACAAAAGATCAATGTAAATGTATAAATAACAAAACTGCGATTGCAGTAACACAGCGTATTGGCTCAAAGAATTTGTTAAAAAGTAAAAATGTTTTAACGTTTTTACACACAGATACCCACGAATCACACTTACACACGCTTCACATTGTACGCTTTAACAATTATAAGCCAGAAAGAGTTGGCTTTACACTTTTGTTGTCATTCATTTCTTTCCGCATTTCTTTTTTTTCTCTTCATAAATATTTTGTAAACTCTCTTTCTCGATATCATGAGCAACATCAGTGAACTTTTAATGACGCACACTGGGCCTAAAACATGTCACAAAAAAGGTATTTCGTAAGATTTTTAAGTAGTACATAGTATTTGTTTTCTTTGTTGTGAATTTTGTGTGATTCATTTACATTTTCGAAATAATGCATTAATAAAATAAATAAAAATATTTTTTGAGAAATAATTTTAAGTTTTTATCTAAATAATAATAACATGTTTAAATTTATCTTTTTTGCAACTTTTATTTTCCCATATTATGACCAAATTATATTATGAGCTTATAGGCTTTAAATAATATATTACTGAAAAATTTGACTAACAACATTGGTAAAGGATTTATTAAATAAACCGATCCTTTTGTTCAAAGTATGATAGGTAGGAAAAATCTAGCAAAAACCGAGAATATCCAAGAAATTTGGCATATAATTATATGTATGTATTTCCACTTAAACTAATTCGTAATATTTACGAAAATTTCGTGCATAATACGAAATACATATTATAATTTAATAAAACTACAACACTTTTTTATAAAATTGACGAAACATTATAATATAAGTTTTTCTAAAATTATTTTGTGTTATACTAAATTATTTCGTACAATTTCGTTAGTATTACGAAACAACTTCTTGGTGCGCAAAGACGAAGCATTTCGTATAATGTACGACAATTTTCGTATTATAAGGCTTCGCTTATTTTCAGTGTATTATTTTACGTATTATTTATTTTACCGTTGAAGTAAAGCAGACCAGAGTCTCTCGTGGGAATCGAACCTACAACCCTCAGTCTGATATGCTGGCCCACCGGGGCTCCCGTATTTTTGTTTATTTTCCTTTTTGGAAAGGTTATGTTTAAAATGTCTCATTTATTGAAAAAAAATTTCAAAAAAATCTAATTTTTTCCCATATAAGATATCACATATGATTTTTAACACATATGATTTTTATGATTATTCCTGATCGAAATTGGAATAGGATGCTAAAATAAGTGTCAATTGATATTAGGTTAGGTTACTTGGGTTGCTCGCTAGTTCACTCGGAGGCCTTGTGGCCCATTGTGATACCCTTAGAACTACCATTCCTTTATGTTGAGAGATTATACATAAAGAAGAAAAGAGCTCTACCCAGATCGAAATTGGAATAGGATGCAAAATTTAGTGTCAATTGGTTTTAGGTTAGGTTACGTGGCTTGCTCGCTAGTTAGCGAGTTCACTCAAAGGCCTTGTGGTCCATTGCGTGCTCTTGTAAGGCTGGACAGTCACATAGAAGGTGTTGTACGATTCCTCTTCTTCCTCATCCAAACAACTTCTACAGTAGCTATAACGTGGGTAGCCCATACGTTACGACATATGTCCAATCATACATTGCTTTATCAGAGTGGACCAGAGCAGTCTCGATATTCTGCAAGTGGTTATATTTGACCACCTGAGTTCAAAGCGTGTTCGCTAGCTCTACCTATTTGTAAGCGAGCGTGGTAAGAACTTATTTAATTACCTATTTGTAAGCGAGCATGACAAGTACTTGCCTCCGATATTGCTGTATAATGTTTATTTGTCCTTATATAAATGGCTCCCCAGAATAAACTTAATTATGTAACAATCTTGATCGAATTTCGATCGATTGCACAATTATTGACCCCAGTTCCCATATAAGGTAACCACTCATAACTACCCAGCAAAATATTTTCAAATTTTGGTAATAAGTAATGTAGGTAATGTAGTTATTTCATACATTACTTGGTAATGTGTGGTCGTTATCAATAACATAAATTAATATTTTTTAATAGTATTTGTAGCCAATCGTCTAGCGCGTATGTCTAATAAAGAATTAATTAATGATTCTAACTCTGGTCGATATTAGAAATTTTTTGATCAAATTTAGAATTTCACATTTGTGTAAAAATCATTCCAAATAGCACTATAAAATAACTTGTAAATTGAGCATTGAGTAAGAGAATAGACTAATAATCACAGAAAATAACTTTAAAGCCGGTTTTAAGTCCGGGAAAGTCGGGTAAGAACATTTGTAACCACTTATTTTTTGGTCATCGTGGAACAAAAATAAGTAGTTATTCACCCAAAAAGTAAGTACTTACACTTTGCTACAATATTATTTGCTTATTTACCGGGTAAGTAAAGATTTAGCTGGATAGCTAACAAATAGTAGAATAGGGATGAAAATTTATTTAAGTAAGTTTTACAAAAATCATAATATCTTTATTAAATTTCGTAATTAGGGTTTTATAAATTGACTTTTTTCTAATATAACCACGGAATCATTAAAAAAAAACAAAGGGAAGTAATATTGGAGTAAAGGGGAAGTATGTATTAACTTTTGGGGTGAATAACTAGTTATTTTGTTAGACTAGGTTCAAACGAGCTTAACCAACTTACTCGGACTTAAACCGGCTCTACAGTTGTTTTTTGGGTTAATAAGCCTATCCGCTTACTCACTGCTCCATTACTAAATTATTTTTGTTTTTTTTTAATTCCCTAATCTTGTTTGTTGGACAGACGCTTTAGACCATCATTGGCTACAAATAATATTCAACAAAATGAGTATTTACTGTTTTTAATAAAGTGATTAATTGAATTAATTTAGAATGGAATGGACATCAAATATCTATGTTCATTAGAGTGTCCCGAGGAACAGCCTTTTTAGGAATTTCATGTAGAAATACCACTCAATCGAAATCCCACTCAATCGATGCCTATTAATGTAGTGAACACGAGAAAAATAAAAAATATTTTTTTGGGATGGTTTTTAGCTCCCTACCAGCGATTGCAAATCCTGATCTCAGTATAGTTTTTGAAAAATAAATAATTTTCGTTTTCTTTTTCGAAATGGGTCTCAAAAATTCCGTAATTTTGAGCTGATTACAGGAAAAATTATTTTAAATAATTTTATCGAAATGGGTTTCAAAATTGTCGTAATATTTACTTCATACACAAAAATATTTAAAAAACAGCTTGGCATTTATTTCAGCCCATTTCAAAATTTTATAGAATTTTTTTAAATTAATATGCCTCTTATTATACGCAAAATACTCTAACTAAAATTTTAATTATTTTTCCCGCGATAAGCTCAAAATTACAGAATTTTTGCACCCAATTCGAAAAGATTGCAGAAAAATTTTTTTGAACATATTGTACCGAGATCAAGATTTTCAAAAAATATTGAAAAAAAATAAAATATTTTTTATTTTTTTTCGTATTTAGTACATTAGTTATAGAGGTATTCCTCCTAAAAAGCGGTCCACGGAACACCCTAATGTACATATTTACATATAAATATATATTCCTTAGGGGTTTGTTTTAAATAATAAAAAATATTTCTTTTTTATTTGAATTTAATTCATATATCAATTTGCATATAACTACAAAGTTTGAACTACATGTTTAAGTTTTAATCTAATGTTATTGACATTTTTTCACATAATATGAAATAATATTCCAAAAATTTTTATTACTTTTAAAACAAATTTAAATATATGTATATAAAATCACATTCGTAATTAAATATTTTCTATAACAGTAAAATAATTTTCATTTCAAATTATTATCCCAGCAAAAGCTTGGTAATTACTTTCAATTGTAACTACATACCTATTAACATGACTACTGCATATCGTCCTGATTACATATAAGTAGTCGAATAACGTCTTATTAATAATGTGTTATATAAATACTTTACAATTCATTAATCATTTTCAACGTGGAGCCATAGAAGCTGTAGATGTTTTTAAGTACTATTTATATTGACTTTTCTAATTACTTGTAAGCGGTTGTAGTAAGTACTTGCCTCCAATGACATCACCATTTTTAAATAATGACTTAAAATGCAATTGTATAAGTAAATTTTAGCATTTTAACTCCTTACATGGTAATTAAACTTTTTGCTGGGATATATTTCATTACAATTTAAAATTAGTTTTAATTCAAGAAAGTTTTAAACGAATAGATGATATTCATTCAAACAAAATGTATTGAACACAATAAATTCAAAAAAACGTTATAGGATTTTTATTAAAAAAATAATAATAAGCAAATAGATTTTTTTGAACAAAAAAGATAAATATTTCGAAAATATTTTCTTGAATAAAATTATTATTATAATTTTCAATATCAAACGTGTCCGACCTCTTTGTAAGCGAACGTGGTAAGTACTTACTTAACTACCTATTTGTAAGCGAGCGTGGTAAGTACTTGGCTCCGACATTGACGACATAAAAAAGTGAGTTAAAATGCCAACTCATTACTTTTCAATTCAAGTTTTT